CCCCGGAGCTGCTTTCCCTGGGCAGCAGCCTCAGCAAACGCCCCCTGCAGCCTCCCGGACTTGCAGCATCGTTTGCCACCTGCTGAAGCCACCCTGCAGGCTGGGATGTGCTGGCTGGGTTAATTCTGTGCAGAAGTGTTGGTTGTGTGGAGCTGCCCTGGGTTCACCAATCTCTTCTGGACCTGAATGTTTGTTACTGGATTCCTGTCCCTCCCCTGCACAGCCCCCGTGCCAGGTCACGTTCATAAGGTGCAGTCTGGAATGGAAGGAGCATTGTAAGACTCGAGCCAGAAAGATTGAGTGTAGATCTGAGACATCCAGAAATCCATTACAAACACAACCTGCACAAACTTGCTGCTGTGCTCATTCCTTGCATAGCTGGGGGCTGGTGGAGGTGGATATGCTTGAGGAATTCTGAGCCAAAATACACAACTTTTCTGCCAGTCTAAAGTGAGAATTTTCTTGTTTCTTGTCAAAAACTGAGGTAGACAAATTCAGTTAAGAGAGACTTAGCTGCAGTTGGCATTTTTCAGCATTATCCTTCAAAGTTACATTTTTCCCAGTGAAATCAATGCTGAATTAATGCTGAATTACCTGCACTTTGGCAAAGAAAAGGTGAGAAAATCAGAAGTCCAGCCAGGGGACACAGATACTTCCTACATGGTGCTGAAGCTGTAGTGTGCTCCACAGACAGAAGCAACTATAATTTATTGCTCAGGACTTTGATTTGCTTAGAAATCTCTCCAGTTTCTCACAGTCAGTAATGATAATGCTCCTTGCTTGCTGCTGCCTGTGCCCTCTGCCATATCCTGGGTCAGAGAAACAGGAAGGGCTGGGTATGGAATTCCTGGGAGCTGGGATGCCATGGCATGGGTGTGGGATGTGCCACCCTAAGGGAGGAGATCCCATCTCCACTAGATGGCATCGCCTGGTGCTGGAACAGCCCTGCAAGTCCACACACTCCCTGTTCTGTTGCTCCAAGATTGCTTAAAGGAATTTTCTTCCCTGCTTTTCTGTTTTCATTGAATCTCCTCTGGAGGATTTCTTTTTTCCTTTGTGCAGCTTGTCTTACACAACAACAAAAGGAGGTGTTATTTAGGGAGTAACTTACACCAAGTTAGCACTTCAGTGGATTTCAGAGTTTATTGTTCCACAGCAGGACAGGTTGATCTGAGCCTGACGTGTCCCTGATGTACCTTTAGAGCCATTTTCCTCCAGCAGGCACAAAAGACACAAAGGTAACTTCACACCCCCATTTTGTCCCCAAAACCAGAATGACATCATCATTGGCCTGAGCACTCTGAGAGCTTTGTCATGGACCTGCAGCTTTCTGTGTGTCCCTTCAAGGGCTGCAGCCTGGCTCCACTTCCAGGAGCTTGTTTTGGTTTGTGGGGTCTCCCTGGTAAGAGTGCAGAGGATGGATGGGGTGGAGTTCTGAGCTTGTCCCTGCTGTGGTTCCTGGGCAGGCTCTGTGGCTCTCTCTGAGCCCCTTTGTTGCCCACAGGGACCCTCTGTGTCCATTGTCAGGATGTGGCAGAGCACTGAGGAAGGAGTTTTTGCTCTCCCTGCTGGATTGTGCCATAAACCCTCCTTGAGCCACTGCTAATGCCAAAATCTCTGACATTTAAAGCTCCTCCTTGAGACTCTGTTTGTTGTCTAAGGATCAAGAAGCATCTTGGAATATCTCTGTAATTTTTAACCAAGCTTGAAGGCTAAGACTCCCCTTCAGTTTATCCTTATTTTTATTGGAAGAGGAAATATGGTAATTGAGTCTAAGATTAATGTAATTTTATTTTTCAATCATTCACCTATACTAAAGTTCAAAGTCCAGGGTGTTTTTCTTTACTCTAGGAGCTCTTTAGCTGACATCTGTGGAGTGTTTGTTGTTTGTTTTTACGGCTTCAAGAGTAACTGAGGAACCCTGAGGCATCTCAGTTCAACCAGAGTGTGTGCTGGAGAGGGGATGTAATCCTGAGCTGTTTTGGGATGTTCACACACTGGTCTTGCCTGCATTGCAGCAAGAGCTAACACAGCTCACACTTGATGAAATTCAGGCTTTCTCACATATTTTTGAGTGCAAGCAAAATGCCTCTCAGGCAGTTCTGTGCACAGAAGCATCTCCTGCATCAGCCCCATGTTCCCTGTTCCCCAGCTCGCTGCATTTCCAGGGCTGGGCAGGCTCTGCTCTGGCAGCTCTGGCAATGGCAGCAGTGCAGGGAGGCAGCACGGGATGGGAATTGTGCTGAGGCCGTGGTGACTGCAGCTCTGGTGTTCCTATAGCAACAGGAGAGCGGTGCTGTTCTGGAAGCTGCTCCCGAGGGGAGGGCAGGGCTGAGATGCAGGCCCTGCCTGCCTGGGTGAGGCTCTTCCCTGGTGTGGGGCACCAGAACCCCCCAGGCTGCTGGTGGGGCTCAGGGGAGCCTGCCCAGGGCCTGGCAGGGGCTGCTGGAGAATGGAGACCGAGCTCTGCTCAGTGCCCTTTCATTCTGGTGAGCACAAGGCTTGTTTCAGTGTGCTGCTGCTCTCAGCAGTGCATGGGGTATTTTTAGAATGCCAGCCTGGGATGCTAATGCTGGGAATTCCAGGGAAGAGTTAATGTTTAGAAGATCGTTGCTGGAAGGTGGTTGAAGAAATGTATGTATGCAAAGATCTTGTGTGAAGTGAAGAATTTCTTTTTTTAATTTTGGCAGCCTTTAGAAATTCCCAACAGGCGAAACCTTCTGATCTCTAAATGCTTTTGGGGTTTAATTAATTCTGCAGGTGACTACAAGCAAATCAGGTGTATGTATCTATTTCTCCTTCACAGAGCACTTGGGAAGAGCAGCTGTTGGAGGTGTCAGCATCTCCTGTGGTGTTGAGGTGGTGAGGTTTCAATGCAGCCTTACCCTGCTGGGTTCATGCTCTGTGCCAGGTCCTGGCTCTGGCATCAGCCCCCTGGGGAAGCTTTGTGCCATGGAGGTGGGCAGGGAGCAGGGGCACGCTGAGCTCAGGCTGCAGTGCCCTGCAGTAAAGGCATTTGACCTTCAGCTCATCCTGCCTTGCTAAGACTGAGGAACAAGAGGTGTAAAAGAACTCTAAATTCAGCAATTTAACCAGCTGCAACTGGAACATAATCTCAGTGAGATTTTTTTGGAAGTTAGTGGGGTAAGATTGTCACTATTGCGTTCTAAGATAGGACATAAGCCCACCTGTTAATTATTGTTAATTTGTAGGAAGAACAAGGGGGAGAAAGCGTGAGGCAGATTCAGTGAGAGAAGTATCTGAATGTCGAAAGGCTTGTGGCAATCATAAAAGATGGGGAGTATTTCACTGGGGATGTTGTGAGTCTCTATTTCAGGTTAGAAATGTGTGCCCAGAAAAGAGACAGCTGTGTGTACAGATGCAGGTCAGGTAAAAGTGTGCCTTTGTCATTGTTCTGGGCATTAATTGCTGGAAGTGCAGAGCTCAGTGAAGGATGTGCTCCAAGCAGACGTGGTTCCCATCCCATTGTCTCAGTCACAGCCTCTTGGCCATGTGCAGCTTAACTTCATAACCTGGGCTCTGCTTTTGACATTACTGTACTTGATTAGCAGGAAAACATCCGCTGTGGGAGCCAAGGGGGCTGCAGGAGCAGCTCAGGGTGGTGGCTCCCTGCTTTCCCTGGGCACTCAGAAGGGCCAGCCCTGTTCTCTGGCAGTGTTTGTGTCTGTGCACGGCACTGGAGAGCTGCTCCATGAGCACCTTGGTTTCCTTTGGCTCTGGCTGGTTTGGGTTGTAGGGCAGGGCTGGAACAAAGCCTGCTTTTATGCTGAGAAACGTGGATCAGCTTTTTCTGGACCAATGTCACCCAGGTTCTCTTGCTGGGGACACCTCCAGATGTGGCCAGATGCCTTCAGTGGCCTCTGGGAGGTTCCTGCTGGGGCAGGCAGGAGCTCTGGGGTTATCTGGGATGCAGCCTCCTTTCCTGCCTGGGATGGCAAGGAAACCTGCAGGAATTTTGTTCCATTGAGACCCTGGGAAGGGGAGAGCCCAGGAGAAGATCAGGTCTGTGAAGGAGTGCAGCTGATGCTGTGCTGGGTGAGGCTCTGTGCTTGCCAGATGTTTCCAGCTGCTCCTGCCCCTTCAATTGCTGCTGGAGGTGCTGCTGCAGCTGCCCTGGCCTCCTCCTGCTGCAGCCCCTCCATCATCCAAGGCTTTGTCACCGTCCTTGCAAGTGAAATCCCTGTTTTTCTTCAGGGGCTGGTAGTTCTTGCATGTTTTAAAACCAACAAGGCAGCTTGTTAATTCTGAGCTGGGTCCTGGTGCTATATATCATTTATGTTTTGATCAAGGAAGAAACAGTTTTTGCAGGAGATGAAAAGGGAGATGACTGCAGGGCTTCTGAATGCTGGCAAGAGGGTGCATCAGAGCAGTTTTTGATGTAGTTTTACATAAGATAGGGGCCTTACATATGAAAAACAAACTACTACTGCTTGGTCCTTAATATTTCCTCCTTTGAGTACATATAACAAATAAATTGTGAAGTGTATAAAAGTAAGTGCAGTTGCATTTCAGGAGCATTGATGTAGCTTTTAAGAACAGTAGCAAGAGGAATTTAAATTTACCATTTTGGCCACTTTTCCTGCTATATTGCAACTGAGGAGCAGATTAGATAACTGAGAAATGGAATTCATATAATGAGGCATTTTTATTAGTCCTCTTTTACCTTGTGTGCAGGTGTATGGGCAGAAGTTGCTTGGGGCACAAAACTGAGGTTTGCTTGTTGATATGCTTCAGGTAAAAGACTGGAGGAGTTTTGCATGCTGGTGCTCCATCTGAGTTGAATTTGAGCTTTGCAAAGCCCTGGAAGAGGATTCTGTGGAGCTGAGCAGTTACCTGCCTGGGACAGGCAGTGATTTGGCACTCCCTGGTTTGTCATTTCCTTTGCTGTTGGCTGTGTGGATGTTTAGAATGACACTTGGGGTACTGCATCTCTCCCCTGCTCTTTGAAGGAAGTAATTATGGCACAGATTTCCTGTATCCATTGTTGTTGCAGGTGCTGAGGATGTTGTGATGGCATTTTCCAGGTCAGAGACAGAAGACAGAAGACAGTAACCACAGGACACCTGAACAACACAGAACTGGAGAGGACAGTGAGATTCCTGAAGATAGAGGAGGATGGCTGAGCATTAATAAGTTCCTCTGCCCACCCTAATTGTTCCTTGGTATTCCTTCTCCTTTGTAATGTTGTTTCCCTTTGCCCAACCCTCAGAATGCATCTCACAGCCATCTGTTCCTGTCAGATTTTGCAACTCAGCCGGGCTGTGTTCATTAAGGACAAACCCAAAGGTGTGCTTTTGGTTGGCTCAAAGGGACAGGCTGTGGTTGGATAAAGGAAGGCAATTTTTCAAACTTGACCAATGGAAACCTTTTATCTCACGTTTTATTTTGTATTTTAAACAAAGTCTCTTGACATCCTACTTCTAAAGAAGCTTTTCATGCTGTGGTGCTTATTTAGGTCAAACTTGTGAATTTGAAGAGGGTTTGATTTGGCTGCATAGAACTGGAAGCAACTTGTGATTGGGTGACAATGCAAAAGCTTTCCCTTCAGTTGGCTTGCAGGTATTTTGCTGACTCCAACGTTTTCATTGCAGGAAGCTGATGTTTTGGTGCATTGGTTATTTCTTTATACTTATTGACTTGGGGGGAAAAGACAAATGTGCTTTGCAATATTTATTACCTCTACACACATATAAACGCTTGCTTTTGGGGGGTTGTTTTGGTTTTTTGATTGGCTTTGAAGTCATGGTTTGATTTCCTTTTGGCTGCAGTGTTTCTGATGCAATCAGTTTTTCCATACTCAGCTGCTCCATGGCCTGGAGCTCTTTTGGGAGCATGTGTCAAAGCAGATTTGGCTCAGGGAGTCCACCTGGCCAGGCTGGAGGCCGAGGATGCCCAGCCCTGGTGGGCACGGGGGCTGTGCCCCAGCCCTGGCACTCCTGCCTGCCCAGGGCTCCTCTCTGCTTCCCTGGGGGAGTTCTGCAGGAGCTGCAAGAGTGAGATCTGAGGCTGTGACATGAAATTGCCAAATTTGTACACATAGAGAATATGTGAACGTGTTTAAAATACTGCAGAGTTCCACTTTAACCCTTTGACTGCTGCACAAGAGTAGCTCTCACGTTAGGAACAATTAATGATCATTAACTTAAATCCAGCTTGCACTGGGCTTTGATAGACTGAAGTTTCTAGTCACTTGAAAAGTTGTACATGGTTTCCCTCCTCGCAGTGTTTGGTGAGAGGGAAATTCTCTGGGTGCCAGGATAGCAGCAGGCTCCTGGGGCTGCTCAGGAGGCAGCAGTGCTGCTGTCAGCACTGAGGGTACAGGGACATCTCAGCAGGGCCTTAAAGCACACACAGACCTGGACAGGCTGCAAAAGCTGCAGTGCAGTTCCTGAGGTGCACTGACTGGTCAGGAATCTGCACAGAGTCTCCAGCACTGCTGCCTAAAACCAAGCACTTCATTCTCTCTTATGTGTGCAGGTGGTTTTTACAAAACTTCTGGATTTTGCTGTGGGTTGCACTGACTTTGAGATGTTTCAGAATCTATTAAACCTGAACTCAATTTACCTGTTTCTGGTTCTTTTCCTATGGTTGTTAATTATTTACAGTGACAATTCTAGAATCTAACTGTGACAACATGACCATTTTCATGGCCAGAAATTCTGCTGACAGGATGCTGTTGTGTCTCAAAATGGGGGAGAAGCTGGAGTGAAACCATGGACTGTCCGTAAAAGGAAGAACAGACTTGTGAGCACAAGGAAGAAATTATCTTGAGCAAATAAATGCTGTGTAATGAGAGCAACTGTACATCTATTTATGAAAATGCTCCTTTTGATTCAGTTGCAGCTTTGTAAAGTTCTATGTGAAAGTAAATCTTTTACCCCTTTTTGTTGGGGCCAGATAAGAAATTTCTTTATTAAAATAAACCAGGAATGAGCCCATAGGATTCTCTAGATTTTGACTTGGTTGCCTGAGAAGCATTTGATGTGCATTTGGTGCAGAGGGGGAGCTCTCACAGTGTTAACTGAGGGGCTTTTGTGACTCTGGGGTGGCATCCCAGGGCTGGCACTGACCCTCCCTGGCCATCCAGGGCACTCCTCAGCAGCTAAGGCTTTTCAATAAGCAAAGTGGTTTGATCTTTTGTGTGGTTTGATCTTTTCACTGAAAATGTAACTCTTGGGCAGGGGGGGAAATACAGTTTTTAATATCTACTCTTGTTTCATATTGATTTATTACACTGCTCAGCTGCCAAATGAAAAACACCTGGCTTCACCTTTGAGAAAGACACAGGACATCAGCATGGGGGGCTTGTTTATTGTTTGTACAAATTTCTCTAATTTTCCTGTTGCTGTCTCAGGTAAACCATTACCAATTAAACCAGGAAATCAAATGTTTTAGAGGCCAGAGTTGAGCACAGATCTAATTTGAAATGTTTGTAACTAGAAAAGGCTTTGTAGTCCAATTATCAACCATATAGTGCTTAAGGCATTCAGAAAGGGAGTGGAAAAGCTTTGGAAGCATCTTCCAAGAAACGCACACGCTTTTTGGGTGGTCTTTTGGGGAGAAATGTTCCTTTAGAGCTTCCAAATGTGCTGTTGTACTTGCCCTGCCAGGCTGCCCGTGTGCCTCTCACAACACGCTGTGTTTTGCAGAGCTTGAGGAGCAGATTGAGAGCTGAGTCCCACCCTCCTCCCTGCCCAGGTGGGCAGCAGGTGCTGCAGTTGTTGGAAGCCCATTGTGTCTGGCATGGCCTGTTGTAAGTGGAAATGGGGCTCCACCATTCACTCAGGCCTTGAGTCTGATTCTCCCAGGTCCTAAAATAAACCCTGGAGTAGCAGAACCTGGGAGCTGGAGGCACAGCAACACTTGGGAAGGAGATACTCCTGAAAGAAGCTTGGATCACTAATTAAATTTAAAAATCTCTTGAGATGTTTTGTTCCTACCTAAGGTAAGCAGTTACTGGCATTTGTATCCTCCATGGCCGGTGTGAGAGTTTCTAATGCTTGACCATTACATCTGTTTCAGTTCCACAAAGTCTATCTTCTAATTCACCAGCAGCCTCATTAGTTCTGTTAAAGGCTGAAGATTTAATGGCCCATGAAGTAGAGAGAGCCATCACCTATAGCAGAGATTGTCTAAATGACACATGGGGATCATATGTGGGATAAATTCCTGTGGCTATTCAGAATCCCTTACAAGAATAAAACAGTGCCATGCCTGAGGTTACCAATGTTCTGCACTGCAAAAGGGAAAAGTAAAGGCTAGAAGTTGAAAGCTTTGAATTAAATGTATAAAATGTGTTAGAAATTATTTATGAAATACATTGAGTGCCCTGGCAGAGAGGAATATATGATTTAGAGTCATTTAAGATCAGTCCTTCTGCTTTCTTTTTGGTCTCTTGCCTCCTCAAGAACTGTGGCAGAGCTGACAGCAGGAAGGGCTGCAGGGCACTGGGACCAGCAGAAACCAAGAGTGCAGGAAGAACAGTTTCTGGAAGTTTAAGGAATCTCGAGGTCTATTCAGTCTGCACAAAAGGAAGTCCCTAGTGAGTAGCATCTTTTCCTCGCTGTTACCTTCCAAACAAAGTGTTCCAAAGCTTGGAGGCTAAAAAAGGGCGTTTAGGAAGCTCCATTAAAGCTGCAGAGCAGTTCTGAGTTAGAGTTTTACAGATATCAGAGTGCTGTTAGCAGGAGGAGCATTGTTGCTGCTTACCAAGGTAGGAGGTTGGATGTGTTCCCTGCCACACTGAGGTAGGTTCCCATGCAAAGACAGAAATCATCTCCTGCCTCCCGAGCTCTGCTTTCATTTGCTCTGCAGCTGGTTTGCCCTAAGCAGGATTCCTGCTGGATGTTGTAAACAACCTGGCTGGTTTCCTTTGTAGCCTGAAGAACTTCAATTTGGAGATTGTTTATTTTGGAAAAGAGAAAAAAAAATTGAAGCTTTATAACCTGGCCTGCTCACAAGCTGCCTCGTGTATCAGCATGAAATGTTCTATGCACAGAGCTTTATGCTGCCTTGACATTTTGCAGGTTGACTCTCCTTGGTACTAAATGGTGCTCCAGAGGCATGTGAAACTCAGGAAATACACTTTCAGCCCTTGTTTTACAACTGTAAGAGTGACTCCAACACAGATGTGGACTTGGTGCCACTGTACTTCACTTTTTCACCATCTCCAGTTCCTGCTGCTCTCTGCTGCTGCAGTTCCAAGTGCAGCAATCCCCACAGGGCAGGAGAGGATCCTGTCTGTGCCATGGAATGGAGTGCAGGGAGTTTGTGCATCGAGGAGGGCACGGGAGCTCTGTAATCCGTGTTCAGCTTTGCCTGTGACCTCCTAATCAGGGAGGGCACAGTGTCAATTGTCCTGACCTGATTGGAATGGACAGTGAGCATTTGCCTTCAGCCTTTGTGCTGTACCTGGAGCAGCCAGGCAGCGCCGGGTGTGCCTGCACTGTGTGCAGCCAGGGCCTGGGCTGCCATTGCTGCAGCCAGTGAGTGCTGCTGCTGTTCTTGCAGTGCTGCTGCCATTGCTGCAGTGAGTGCTGCTGCCATTGCTGCAGTGCTGCTGCCATTGCTGCAGCCAGTTAGTGCTGCTGCCGTTCCTGCAGTCAGTGAGTGCTGCTGCCATTCCTGCAGTGCTGCTGCCATTGCTGCAGCCCTGCTGCCATTGCTGCAGCCCTGCTGCCATTGCTGCAGCCCTGCTGCCATTGCTGCAGCCCTGCTGCCATTCCTGCAGCCCTGCTGCCATTCCTGCAGCCCTGCTGCCATTGCTGCAGCCCTGCTGCCATTGCTGCAGCCCTGCTGCCATTGCTGCAGTCAGTGAGTGCTGCTGCCATTGCTGCAGCCCTGCTGCCATTCCTGCAGCCCTGCTGCCATTCCTGCAGCCCTGCTGCCATTCCTGCAGTGCTGCCCTGCCTGCAGTGGGTGAGTGCTGCTCCCTGAGCACAGGGAGGCACAGCCCTGCCTCCTGCCAGGAGAACAGCTCACAGCACGGTCTCTGCTCTGTGGTGGATTTATTTTTTAATGGCTCGATTCTGCAGAATCTCTGGGGTGTGCAGGGAGGGATGCAGGGGCAGGTCAGGAAGGGATGAGTTTCTGTAGGTGGAAGCACAGGAGGAGAATTCTGCCTCGCTGTTGTGTTCTCATAAGCTTCTTTGAGCCTGCAGAAAGATGATAATTAAGCTAGACAGAATCTTAAGCTTTTGCCTTGCCTTGCCAGCAGCACTTCAGAGTCTCCCTCTAAAAGGAGCTGTGCCTTGTGCTGGTTCTGTGCATGCTTAGCTGCTCTCACACCATATGGGTGTCCAGCAGTGCCTTTGTTTTAGTCTGACCTTGACCTTGAGCTCACAGGCTTCTGAAACTATATGGGACATGTGGACTTACCCTGGCTGTTGTAGCTACATCATCATTTTTACCTGATTTTTTTCTGCTCTCTAAATGTAGCAAATTCTAGATGTCAGAGGATTGGAGCAGTGCAAGGAATTAAATTAAATCTTTTCACTTCCAGTGCCATTGTCAAAAGGAGGAGGGGAGACTTGGATAACTGAGAAGTGTTTAGATAACTACATCCCAGTAACAATGAGGGTTTTGCAGAGACCAAAAGCAGCAGAGCTCAGAGTGTACCTGCTCTAGTAAGTAATAGACTGGCTGCTACCACTGCCTGTGCAAAGATTGCTGGCTCACATCCTTCTGCAGAGAAGGTCCTTGGGGTTTAAATAGAGAATTTGTCAGGAACAGCACCTTGATTTAAGTACTGGTGAGATGGATCCCAGAGAATGAGATCTTTGGCATAGTCAGATCCTAGACCTGGTCATGTTTAAAGCTCAAAGTCAACACCTCAAATTCTGCCCAAACAGAAGGAACATTAAATTCAGCTGTGTCAGGCTGCTGCAGAGCAGACTCAAAAATACTTTTGAAACACAAGTGCTATTAAATATCACTGAGGGATCATAACATTTTATCTGCTGGATTGGGTTGTGGCTGAGTTGAGCCTCAGTCACAATTGAATTGGTTCTGTAATTCTTACTGGCATCTTTGCAGGAGAGGCCACACTGCTTTTGTGATGTGTTTGAGTGTGTTCTGTCACCTGGGTAGAAAGAAGAGGTCGTGTGTGTTGTTTTTTTAGTCTCCTGTCTTGACAAGTGTGCAGAGTTGGTTTCTGTCGGGGCCTGAAAAAGTCTTTGTGAAGGTTGTTAGCACCATTCTTGCTCAGAGCTACTGAAAAGAGAGAGGAAGCAGTAAGGGAAGAAAGAGAGAGATTAAAGGGGAAACCCCAGTAGGTTATAAATGCATTTTCCTCTGTGCTGGAGGTTAAATAATATTTTATGTGTGTGACAGATACTGTGATTAAGGAGCTGTTAGGCAGAATGAGAGCTGGGCAGCAAAGGGAGCAGAGATGCTTGAGGGAAAAGGATGCTAAGATGTTCTAGTGCTGAATTCTCTTGTGCATATCTACTGTGTGATATGTGGCTTTGTGTGCCTTTCAGTGGAGGAATAAAAAGGATATTCTACAGACAATTAGGGTGTTTTTCCCTTTCGTTGCTTTAGAATTTTTTCTGCCTGAGATGTGTCACTGGTTACCAGTGACATTGCTTTAGAAAATGGTCAGAGGCTCTAATCTCTGCTGCTGCTTCAAGGTCTAGGATTAGGACCTAGAATGGCGTATGATAATCTTGTACATAAATCATGGCTTTAACAAATGGAAAAGGTTGATCCTGTTTACTCTGGTGCAGGCAGACTCACTCCTCTGCATCTTGCCCGGTTTGAGGGCTCCTCAGTCACTGCAGAGCCTCTGGAGTTCCAGCTGTCATCATGTACCCCTCGTTCAATTCAGTGAAACCTGGGCATCAGGCTGAGTTTCAGATCAGCTCAATAAATACCCGACCTGTGCTGGGCTGTATTTCAGTGTTCCACAGGCGCCTGTCATTGCCAGAGGCTCTTCCTCACTCCCACACCAAGCTGCCTGTGTAAGCTGGGCTTCAGACAGGATGATATGCCTGTCTCATCTCATAAGCTTTTTACTTCCACTCAATGGACAATGCCTCGTTGAAGCAGCAGTAAACAGGGGGCAGTGTGTGCTGTTAGCGTGCACTCCAGAGCTCTGCACTTCACTCATTTAACACAACATGGGATTTAAAGCCCTCCCCGCTTCCTTTTGCAGAAGACAGTGTGTCGTTCCACTTCTTCAGCTGATCCACTTCTGACTGACAGCAGT